AATCAAGATTCATTACAGTCACTTAATATAACTCATTCCCAGGATGTCAAGAGTGTGTCATTTCTTTCCTCCTCAATTTCATTTCCTGCAAAATCTACAGGCGTTTAGAATGCAACAAGCAGCATAAAACGGAATGAGAGCTCATTGGCATTTCTTGCACTCTGTCCTGCTTCTTTTTAGTTGTGCTCATGCCTTGAATTTTAGTTTTATTTGGCCTTGAATATGTGGCAGCAGTTTCTGGCACAGATCCTGAGCTGGTAGACACAATAAAATCGATGTTAAGAATAGCACGCCTCAAAACATTTAAAATACAAAATCTAGTAACAATGTTAGTGATAGAATTGCTGCATTAGTGATTTTACTGCTAGCAAATGGGATGTTGCCTTTAAACACTAAGGTGTGGATTTGCACTGCAATTTGACAAGGTGTGAAATAGACCTTAAAGTACATTAACAAAATGTCTTTAACAACAACAACAACAAAATTACATTTGTATGGTGCCTTTCACGTTGGGAGGACATCTCAAGGTGATGGGCAGTCAGTGTTTCGGACCCGAACTGGAGGTCGGGATCAGGGAGGGTGGAGGGCAGGGGGCGAAGGAGAGTGATTGAAGGCTCAAGAAAATAAAAAAGACAATTTTATTGTGCTTATTCTAAATAGTTATATAGAATTCACAATCATATGCTGCAATCGGAACAATAATTAAAAATTGCTCTTTTACTCCTTTTGTGAATATGATACATGTATGTACCATATGATACCCTAACTGACATGGCATGCAGGTGTCATGCTATCAGATCCCTTCAAAAGATTAGATCAAATAGGCCAAATAGCTTCTTCATCTGAATTGATCTTGTGGTGTCTTATGAGACCCTGCACCTCCACTCATCATCTCTCCATAGAGGTGGCAGCAGGAGAACTGAAGCTAAATGCACTTTGTGACACAATGTCCTGCATGACCAATGTCACACTCTTTACCAATAATCTTTAATGGACAATTGAATTTTGAATGACATAATAGGATCTATCTTACATTGATTTTTAAAAGTGAAATCTTTTTGCTGCTTCTTTCTAATTGGAAAATCTCTCTATAAAGATATATAACAGTTTTAACAGCCAGCATAAAAGCCCCCCAATGGTTACATTCAAGCGACCTGCAACCTGTCTAATGAAGATCCATTGGGTGTTAACCCAAAGGATCTTCATTAGATATTGAATTTTCTGCTTTTGGATCAATAGCTTCACTTGGCTTTTGAAAGTACTTGTAGGTCCCATTATGCATAATGTGCAAATTAAAGGTATAGTGCAAAGTTAAAGTTAGACATTCACATTTCCAAGAATGCCTCAGCTCAAGCATCGCAATTTGGGTGAGAATTTGCTTATCATGTTTTATTTTAGAGGTGCAAGTAAGTTACAGTGACATTAAATCAATATGGAAGAGGCTGCATACGTCTACTTATGGTAGGATCACCAATGTTGAAATTCTGCCACCAATATCTGATTCATTACAAATATGCAGAGTTTAAAAATCATTAATATCAAAAGGATGAATGAAGATGGTTTGGTTAGAAAGCACCCGCTAGTCTGTCTCACTTTCAGTTTGACACCAATCCAGGCAGTACCGAAAGCAATAAAATACCAAGCTCAGAATCACATCTTTCACTCCAACTAATCTAAAGACTGGTTGCAAGACAACAGCCTTTTGCAGCATGAGAATAAATTAATAATAATCCTTACATTTGATATTGCTCCTTATTCTATCAGCAAAATGTCTGAAAGCACTTCACAGGATTTACTGTAGAGTGTGATGACTGTGTATTTGTAGGCAAACGCAGCAGCTTATTGCACTCAGCAATTTCTCACGCACAGCCGTGAAGTCAATGGCCAATGTTACCTGGCGATTGATGGCCAGGGCTCCAGGAGAAACTCCCTTCTCTTTTCAAATACTCTAGTACCATGGAATATTTAACGCCCACTTTAACAGGCATGCAAGACATTGGCTTAGAGTTTCATCTGAAGGATGGCACCACCAACAATGCAACACTGCATTGGAGTATCCTCCTAGAATATGAACTCAAAGTTCCGACATGGGCGTACTTTTTATGACTCAAAGGGAAGAGTGCTACCAACTGAGCCAGACTTTTTTTTAAAATGAGGCTTAAAATTCCTTTAAATAACATGCATCGCTGCATCTCGCTCCTGCTTAAACTCAGTACAGTAGTATTGCATTGTAATCGTATTATCACCTTTTAATAGATAATAGTGTCTATGTTTATTCTGAGCTACAACACAATAAAATGTTTAACAATCATAATGTTTAATTCTTAGACTTCCTTATAGAAATGAGTGTGCTCCAGTTTGCTGAACAATCTGCTACAGGATATGCCTTGTTGAACAAAATGAGAGATGGCACAATTCTGGGAAGTAATGGACAAATTGCTTTGCACCTGAATATGGCCTTAGGTTGACTGGTCAATGTATTACTGAATAAATCATACACAGTTTTTACACGTTATCTCATGGAATATTGATTCATCTCAGTCTGCACCTACTTCCCAACCAGATACTTACCCAGTTCATTTCATAGAAGTTAGATGAAACAGAATCAATTGCTTTTGTTGGGAGTCTATTCAACATATGCAACAGTCTGTGGGGGCAAAACAATTCTAATTCTCATCTCGTTAAAAGTACATATTGTACATTGGTTCAACGCTATTCTGCCATACTGTTGCCTCGCATGAAAATACTGGTAATGGAACCAGGAAAAAGCTGGGAGCAGTCACCTGATAGTTAGATGCAGCGTGCAGTTTCTGCTACCATCATTTCAGCAAGTATCAATTATGCGAATATGCGAATGGTTTTGGATATTCTGATGTGTTTGTTGTTATGGTGCCACTTACACAACAATATCATACATTTTGTACATGAATAGAAAGGCATTGCTTCTCATTCAGAAGAGCGGAGGAAAAGTCTATGGGTGAAATACATCTGTTTGTCAGCTCCTCCATTTCAGTGTTGCAGTCCATGCCACAGGATCCATAACACAAGAGCAGAACCAACTCCTAAAAAGGAGGCTTACCTCCCTGGCCCAAATTTCTATGAGACTTTAAACCAAGGTCCTATCTGCGTGCTTAGATGGACATTAAAAGTTCCATGGCATTTAGACACAAGAGTGCTACCAACCTAGCCAGGCTGCCACACAGGATTATTATATTAAGATATAAAGCATTATTATACACAGAAAGTGTTTGCTGGACATTGGGGCTATATCGATTGCAAGGAACATTTTAATCAGATATTTTATTTATATTTTTATTTTAAGCAGATATTTTAATCTCATTTCATATTGTTTAATATCCTTTCTGAGCATCTGTCTGTCTGTCTGTCTGTCTGTCTGTCTGTCTGTCTGTCTGTCATCCTTTTAAATATCCTTAGTTCTCCTTAGTTAGGTCATTTATATTTAGACTTTTAAGGTTTCTATTTGGTCAGCCTGTCTCAGTTGGTAGCACTCTTGCTTATGAATCAGACGGTTGTGGGTACACTGAAACTTGAATTCACCAAATCTCGTCTGACATTCCAGTACAGGGCTGGGGATGTGCTACATTGTTGGAGATGCTGTGCTTCAGGTGAGGCTTTAAACCAATGTCCTGACTGCCTGTTTAGATGGATGGGACGTCCTCCCGACGTGAAAGGCGTTATACAAATGTAATCTTGTTGTTATTGTTGCTGTTGGATGTTAATAGGCACTATTCAAAATGTGAAGGGAATTTCTCCAGGTGTCCTGGCTAACAATCCCCCAGATAAATTGGTTATTCATTTCATGACTGTTTGTTGGACTTTACTGTGTGCAAACTGGTTGCCGGGTTCATCTACAAAATACATAGCCACTAACTACTTCACAGTACAAATTCCAGTAAGTGCTTTAAACGCTTGACTACCTGATAAATGCAAGGATTATTTTTCAGCAGGCTTGATCTGGATTCCTGTAGCGTATTGATGGGTCCATTGGTGGGAGAGCCTTCAGCCACTCTGCCCCCAACCTCTGGAATTCCATCGCCCAGTCACTCCGCCTCGCCCCCTCCTCCTTAGCCTCCTTCAAGTCCTGCCTCAAGATCCTCCTCTTCGACCATGCCATCGGTCACCCCCCTTCCCCTCCCCTGCCTTCTCCATCTCCGACACCAGCTCGCGTCTGAAATGCTGTACACTGTCCAGCGCCTTGGGACGTCTTCCTGACGTGAAAGGCGCTATACAAATGTAATCTTGTTGTTGTTGTATTAATTAGAGCGCTTGCCTTGCAAATTAGAGGACCTGGGTTTGAGTCCTGGGCAGGGTGAAATCTTAGGCAAGTTTCCTTGCTCCACACAATTCTGTTGCCGGTTATCAGTCGATTGGTGGATTGCTTTCCGGGACTAATAATCCCTTTGAAAAATGTTTTGTCGCTTAATCCACGAGTGTTTGTGGGGCACTGCTGTGCGCAACTGGCGGCCGCGGTTGGCCCGCGAAAGCGTCCGCTTTGCAGTATAGTCTGCGAGACGTTTCGCGGCGTCTCGCTCTATCAAAAGCAAGGATCCTGAGTCTCGTGGGGTGTTTTTGTCCGCAGGGAGGAGGCGTGTTGGGTTTGAGGGAGAGGTAAGAAGGTGGAGGTGAACTACAAGTCCCATGTGCCAGTGCAGGGCTGGGTGGGCTGATGTCCCTCTGGCGGAGCGAGTGGTAACAACTTCAACTGACTCAGAGCAGGTGCTCCTCTCTCCAGACAGAGAGCTCTGTTGGGCTGCTCCATCCCTCTCTCTCTCTCTCTCTCTCTGTCTGTCTGTCTGTCTGTCTCTCTCTGTGTGTCTCACTCACTTCACTTCACTCCCTCACTCACTCAATCTGCTGCTGAAGCTGAAGAGGTCGCATCTGAGACAGAGAGAGAGAGAGAGAGAGAGAGAGAAAGAGAGTGTGAGAGGAGAGAAAGAGAGAAAGAGAAAGAGAGAGAGAGAGAGAGAGAGAGAAGTGGGGGTTTGGGGGGTGGTTGGGGGCAGGTGAAGAGAAAAAGAGATCGCACCGATTCATCCTCACCGGTTGCCAACCCCGAGTGCGGGCAGTGCAGAATGCTGTCTGGGTTTTAATCAGCAATGATCCCCGAGCAGCAGCAGCAGCAGCAGCAGCAGCAGCAGCGCAACCATGTCGCTACCATCGAGAACATCCCAACAGAAGCCATCACCACCGCATCGCCCACTCTGCTGCAGAGGATAAGGAAAGTCTTCACAAGGTAAGAAGCCCATCCATCCCCGCAAAGGTCCCCACCTGCCCTGACCGTGTGTCCCCCCCCCCTCCCCTCCTCCCCTCCTCCCCACCCCCTCCTCCTCTCTCTCTCTCTCTCTCTCTCTCTCACCCTCACACACACACCACACACCACAGGAGCCGCAGTAAAGCGGTTAAAAAGAGGTGGTCAACCCCACACCGAACATCTGCCGCCGCCGCCTCGCCTTTGCCCACATCCTATCCTCACTTCAGGAAAAGTTATCTCTTTTTTGTCTGTCTGTCTGTCTGTCTGTTTGCTTTTTGTGGATTTTGCAAACCCCTCACACACACCATCACATACACCACCACCACCATCACACACCATCACATACACACCACCACCATCACACACCATCACATACACACCACCACCATCACACACCATCACATACACACCACCACCATCACACACCATCACATACACACCATCACACACCATCACCATCACACACACCATCACATACACCACCATCACACACCATCACATACACACCATCACCATCACACACCATCACATACACACCACCACCATCACACACCATCACATACACCACCACACACACCATCACCATCACACACACCATCACATACACCACCATCACACACCATCACATACACACCATCACCATCACACACCATCACATACACCACCACACACACCATCACCATCACACACACCATCACATACACCACCACACACACCATCACCACACACACACACCACCACCACACACACCATCACACACACCATCACACACACACATATCACACCACACACACCACCACATACACCACACACACCACCACCACCACACCATACAGAGCACCACACACCACTCCACACACACACACCATCCACACACCGTGTGAACGGGGATCAGATGCAACTCCGGTGCAGAGAGCAGCAGCAGCACTGTAACACACAAATAAATAGCTGTTGCACCGAAGTCTGTTGGAAAAACCCCGCACACGACTTTGTGCAAATCTCTGCTCAGTATCTCAGCGAAATGTGCCTCTCCCTCTCCCCCTCTCCCTCTGGTCGGGGGCTGCTCTCTGCCTGTGTCCTGTGGCTCTGATCTGAGGTTTAAATGTCGCGTTTTTGGGGGTTTATTTCGCGTGTCTTTTTTTTCCTCTTTAGGGTGGAGACTGGGCAGTGGATTTCTTTTTGAATTGGGAGTATTTTTTGGGGGGGATGGTGGGGAGTGGGGGGGGGGGATGGTGGGGAGTGGGGGGGGGATGGTGGGGAGTGGGGGGGGGGATGGTGGGGAGTGGGGGGGGGGATGGTGGGGAGTGGGGGGGGGGGATGGTGGGGAGTGGGGGGGGGATGGTGGGGAGTGGGGGGGGGGGGGGGATGGTGGGGAGTGGGGGGGGGGGGGGGATGGTGGGGAGTGTGGGGGGGAGGGGGGTCTGTTCAAGAGGGGGAAACCCACAGCCTGACAAGTGATCACTGATGCTCTTTGTGAGCTGAGCTGCGCTGCGCTGCTTTCTTTCATCGCAGAGCCCCTCAGTGTTAAAGGGTGGACTGACTGGGCTGATAAAAGTGGGAAGGGTGTTCCTCACTAACCCCCCACCACCACCACCACCAACCATCCTCCTTCCCAAATAATGGCTCATCGATTCCTTTCTCTGCATCCCCTGTCAACCTGAACTCACACATTAATTTGCAACACACAAAAGAGGAGTCGCCCAGGCACTGGCGAGAGCGATGGGGACACAGCAAAAAAAAAGGGCTGTTGTATTTTTAATTGTCCCAACAATAGAGCCGAGCACCACAGACACCAGAGAATAGAGTTGTAACCATAATCTCCTGCAACAGCACAGCCCCACTGCATCATCCAGATTTCCTGAGCAGCAATGCACTTAAGGCAGAATGTCTTTGTTTGACAGCACACGAATTAGTCGTTTCCACTGATTCCCCCCCAAAATGCAAGGCACATGCAAACACTTTTCAGACCCCATCGCTGTGTGTAGTTTCTTATTTTGTGTGCCAGTCCTCCTTCTGTTGGTATGACTGATTTGCAGGGACAATTTTGATCGAGGTTTTGATCATCAAGACTATTGGTGGTTATTTCTCACTGCTTTCCTGTTTCATTTCCTATATGCACATAAAGTCATATTTGTGGTTTTTTTCAGGTTTCTGTATGAATTCTTTGAGTGTGTTTTTTTTAAAAAAAACAATGCATAGACGCACTCACTTTTGGTTATGATATTGCACGGTGAGATGGTGTGTTGGTCTGACCACACGTATATACAGTACTAAAATGATATAGGCTGATATTGAACTAGGGGGTTATGAATTTGTTCCTCAGTGAGCTCTCTAAAAAAAAAGACGCCTGTTCTCACAGTCTGATAATATGTCTGGCAAATAGAAACTAGGTGGGAACCTGTCTGCTGCAGTTCTACGAATGCATAGGATATTTGTCAGACAATTGTGCACTGATTGATGTGATTGCTATGATCCTTGAAACCGTAATGCAATGGTGAGGGATGGAGCGAGCGTGGCTGGAGTCAATGCACTGTGCAATATGTCTGTGATAACTTGCTGCATGGCCATTTGTTAGTGATGTTGATTGTCTGTAATGTGTTTCTAAGTTCTCTTGTTGCATGTCCCCCAGTTTGTCGACTGCTTGCATGTTCGCCCACAAATATACAGTCAATTCACTTTACAGTGTGTTCTGTGAAGCGCTTTGGGACGTCCTCCCGACGTGAAAAGCGCTATATCAAATGCAAGGATTATTATTATTATTATGTTGTCATTAGTGGAATGGCTCCAGTCTGAAGGTCCCCCCAGGTGGCGTCAATGCTGCTCCTTGGTCCTGCCACCAGGAGGCACACTTGAGTAATTTTGGCACACACCTCCCATCTCCCTCGTGGAGTGTGACTAAGATTTTCATCCAAAAGAAAAGCCAAGGCTGGAATTTAAACTCGAGATTCTCAACAGAAAATATTGCTGTTAGTATCAAGGCTATAATATTCTTTTGAAATGCCAAAAAAACTCTCTGTAAAATAGTCACATTTATAAAATATAGTAAATGATCCATTTTCCACTAAAGTATTGTTCTTACGAAACCATAACTAGATTTAGGATCACTGAACAATACTGTATCACATCAGTACAGAACATAGCGCCAAATGTGAATATCAGTGAAACATTCTTTTTTAAATATCATTTCTTCCAAACCTTCTCTCCTCTCTTGAATTGAATTTGCTGACTGTTTTTTTTATAAGGTTAAATCCAGGTCCATAATTGCGGGCACCATCAAGTTAAGACCAGGAGATAAGTTCAGCTGAGATACATCAAGAAGAATTGGTTAGCTGATGCTGCACTTGTGTTTTAAAAGCCTGTAGGTTTTAGGAACAATAGACTGAAGAATGCTTGGGACTGAAAAATGAGTTACTTTAGGAGCTGAGAGATAATGTGAGGATTATTGATTTGAACATCAATAACTTGCATTTATGTAGCACCCCTCATGCAGGGTGGTGTTCCAGAGTGTTGATTTCAACATAATGAAGATGTAAGTGTGAGGATTGATGACTTTTTCTTCTGGTAAAATGGATTCTTCCCATTTAGCTTCTGTTAGCTCTGCAAGCCAAAGGAAAGCCTCCGGTGGGGAAGATGGCCAGAGCTGGACAAGTAGTGGGAAGCTTGCCAGACACTGTTGTTAATGACAATCTATTCAGTTTTAGCTGGTTAAACTCGAGCAGTACTTAATTGTACTGAGGTCACTAAGCCTTGGCTCTTGCCACCCTGTGCCTAATAACTCCAGAATTAGGTAACCAGATTGTGTGATTCCAGGGAGAAAGTGCACATTCTATTCCATCCACAGAAATTTCAATGTGTTGGTGGCATATATGTGTGGAACTCTTAGTAAAGTCTGGATACTCTAAAGCATGGTTTCCATCTCTCAGACCAAAGCAGGCAGCCTACTGTATTTGGAGTTTAGGAAAGCTTAGGATATATAAAGAACAAAAGAAACAAAAGTACAGAGGAGCAATGTCCATAATACTAGTAAAAAGCGCAGAAAGATACAAATAATTGCAGTCAGAACAGGTTTTAGTGTCTAAAGGTAAGAAATGTTCAAGATCCTTCAGTTACATCTTTGACTGAACTGCAACATTGAGACCACTAAAAGTCATCAATGATACTTTATTTGATTGTGACTAGGGCTTGATGTTGCTTCTCATCTTTAATATCTTTGTTGCATTTCACACCACTGCCCACTGTATTCCCTGCCACACTATTTCCCACAATTATCTTTCCAGCATTGGTTCCCGTTCGTGGTTCTGTGCTTTAATTATTTCATTCCTATCTGGCCATTATTATGTCTCAAGTGGCTTTTCACTCTATTACATCCTAATCATTCCTGGTGCACCTCAGGGTTCTCTTCCATTTTTCATCATGAGGTAGTCCATGGCAACATTAGCCACAATCGTGGTGCTAGTTCCATACATCCAAATGCTGATGACACCCAACTCTACCACTATCCTTGATTGCAGTACTGTTACTATTTTGCCTGCCTGAAGATGTCCAGTCTTTTCTGCAGTCATGAAGGCTGAAGCTCTTTTATTTAGCTCTAACAATGTCTTCGTACCCCTAGCCCTGATTCCATCAACCTTTCTGACTGCTTGCTCTTGCTAAACCAAGCTGAAATAGATGGTATGTTTGACCCTGATCAGACTTACAAATTCCATGTCTGGTTTATTACCAAGAAAATGCACAAGAGATCTATACTGCACACAAATACACAGTCACTAAACTGATTCACAATAAAATATTTAAAAATAAAATATTTCACAATTACAAAAAATATAATGAAGCGCTTTGAGCCATCTTGACGACATGATATGTCAAATGTAATGATTATTATTAATATTAACTCACCGTTCTTACTCAGCATACTTGGTTGTCACCCTCTGCTTCCTTACTCAGTGGTTTCCTCTGCAAAGTCTGAACAACTAATACTGGAC